CCCTAAACCCGAAGGATTTCTAATCCTTCTCTAAACCCAATGAGTTTTGGAGGGGTTCTAGAATCCTTCTCTCTAAACCCTGAATGAGAGTTCTAGAATCCTTCTCTCTAAACCCAGCATGAGAGTTCTAGAATCCTTCTCTCTAAACCCAGCATGAGAGTTCTAGAATCCTTCTCTCTAAACCCTGAATGAGAGTTCTAGAATCCTTCTCTCTAAACCCTGAATGAGAGTTCTAGAATCCTTCTCTCTAAACCCTGAATGAGAGTTCTAGAATCCTTCTCTCTAAACCCAGCATGAGAGTTCTAGAATCATTCTCTCTAAACCCCGAATGAGAGTTCTAGAATCCTTCTCTCTAAACCCTGAATGAGAGTTCTAGAATCCTTCTCTCTAAACCCTGAATGAGAGTTCTAGAATCCTTCTCTCTAAACCCCTTTCTCTCTCTCTCTCAGTCTTACATAACCTCTTCAGTTTTAATAACAGTGATTTCCCCCACAATACCTCAGCTGGGTCTCCTTGCAATTATACAGCAGGTACTTCCTCTGTACCAGGAAACCGAGCCACAGTTTAATCCAGTCAACATAAGAAATACTGCAGATTGGCTAATAGTACGATTACAGAGGAGATTGGCCATTTCATACTTCTGTAGGATTACAGCTGAGAGAGGGGGGAAAGACGTGACGAGAGGAGAGAGAGGGAGAGAGAGTGAGAGGAGGAGAGAGAGAGAGGGCGAGAGAGTTGGAGAGAAGTGGGGAGAAAGAGGTGGGGAGAGAGGAGGAGAGAGAGGGATTTTGGACAGACCTCAAGATGGCTGCTTACATAGCAAAATGCTTTGATTGGTCAAGGAGGGCAAAACAGGTGTTTGATCTCAACACTCTGAACCTGCATCAAAGATGTCGACTCACAAACTCATGTGTCGTGCGCACACACCACACAATTGGATAGAATCCTGGGAGAGACATATCACCCTCATATCTCTTTCCCTGTGTGTGTGTGTGTTGTGGCAGCAGAGACAGCTAACGGATGGTACAGGGTATTGATGCAGTCAACACAAACTGGAAAGTACTCATCCAAGCATTCCTCTCCAAACAAACTCATCCAATATGTGTGTGTTCAGCCTTGTTCACACACAGGCAGTTTGAAGTGACTCAAATCTTACTTGTTTGCAGGTTTGATTTGAATCTGTTCTTTGTCCTGCAGTCTAATAGCCAAAAAGCACACAGAATCTGATATTTCAAGTCACTTTTCAAACCACCTTCGTAGGTGGTTTGAAGTCTGATACAAATCTGATTCCTGGCCATGTGACTTCTGTCTGAATGGTTAAATCTGATTTATTTGCCCTCCAGTGGTTTTTAGACTTATTTGTCGTATCTTGTTGCTTGCTAGCTACTCTGCTGACAGTTTGACAAGAACATGTGGTAGCTAACTAGCTTGTTCATTGTTTACAAATGAGTGAATGTGCTAGAAAGCTAAACAGCTACCTAGCTAGCTAGTTGACTGCTGTGGCTAGCCAAAAAGGGCTAGTTTTGAAAGTTGGATCATCTTATCATATACACATACATACATACATATATACATATATAACTTACTTCTTGAACTGTTTGAGGTAAATTCCAACATTCATCCCTCTCTTCCAGTCCAGGATACTGATCTGAGAGAGAGAGAGAAAACAGAGAACGAACGAACGAGCGAGAGAGGGGAAACGGAGAGAGAGAGAATTTGAAAACAAATCCAATTTTGATAAACTCCCATATCTACTGGGTGAAATAACACAATGTGCCATCACAGCAGCAAGATTTGTGGCCTGTTGCCACAAGAAAAGGGCAACCAGTGAAGAACAAACACCATTGTAAATATAACCCATATTTATCTTTATTTATTTTCCCCTTTTGTATTTTAACTATTTTTACATCATTATAACACTGTATATAGACATAATATGACATTTGAAATGGCTTTATTCCTTTGGAACTTTTGTGAGTGTAATGAGAAGACAGACAGACAGACAGACAGACAGACAGACAGACAGACAGACAAGTGAGCGAATGAAAAAACGAATGCAACACTTCGTTAACTTAGAGCCCAGATGGAAAACGTCTGCTCGACATGATACACAGACACACACAGACACCTCATTGGCCATAAGGGTGTGGGTGTGTCCTCTCCTCTCCTCTCCTCCTCACCTCATCTTTGGTCTCTCTGAGGGAGCCTCGGGCCTTCCCCCCCCTAGTCACCGAGGTAACCCCAGGTGATTGACAGTCCGTCTGACCAAACAGCTCCTCGATGGTCTGGACGTCAATGTAGTACTCCTGCTGCTGCACAGGAAGCTGTGTCCACAGGTTGGCCCGCCCCTTCACCTGGAGACCGTTACATAGCAGCCATATGTTAGAGGCATCCCAGAACAAACACTTAATGCTTCGTGTATTGTTTGTTTTGTCGGTGGGCGAAGTCTACGCCCCTTCATCGCTGATTGGTCAACAGTAGGGGATCCTTCAATTAAGTCTTCGTTGTCATTCGACGAGAGACGACTCGTTTTCGTGTATATACGTTTTTTACTGCACCAGACATCTCGGATGTAAAAAATTGCATGACTAAGATCTCCTCGGGCAAAAAAACGTCAAAATGAATTACAGATTTCTTGAGTTATCTTAGATTAATTAAGATTATGTTGAGGAAGTGTATACTGGCTACGGCGTCTCAAAATGAAGAACAAAAAACAGTACTATTGCTGCTTTTTTTCTAGTTTTTCAAGTGTACGTTTTTTTTAAAGGGAGTATGGAGCACGCTCGTTCAGTTCGTCAAACTGAAGCATGCTGATGCCTTTTGGGGGTAACAGCCAACCCCTTCACCCCAAGACCGCTGCATAGCAGTATGTGTTAGAGTGTGTGTGTGTGTGTGTGTGCGCGCGCTTGGGGGAGGGGGGGGGTTTGTTAAGGTGTGGGTATCAACGGACAAAGTGACCGGGACGGTTTAAATTGTCCGACCATTAGAGAAATGGACCCATTAGGGCGTCCGCCCACGGTGCGTCCACCCACGGTGCGTCCACCCACGGTGCTCAGAATGACAGAATTTACATTTAGATTAAGGAAATTCCTCTTAACAGTAATGAACCAGCCAATAAAACTTTCATTTTAATAAACATTAGCCGAAATGCAATCGGCGGGTTAACACCATTCTAAAAACACCTGATGATAGCGGTTCCATATGTGACAGAGATTAAAATCTCTGTTAGAAACTTAGAAAGAGGGGGAATCTAATAGCAACAACTAGGATGGATGCTAATATGACTAGGACTGTGCATTCGTGGGGGACGACTTGTTTACTGTTGCCTTGTTTTATCTTGTTCTTGATACTATGTCTTGTTTTGAGGGGTTTTGACTGATGTCACGTCTATGCTAACATGGCTCAAATTCGCTAGCCAACAACTGTAATGATTCAATTACCAGTTGAGAAATAAAAATAGTATCTCTTTTTAAATCGTGGCCATCAAAACTGTTTTCAATACGCGACTGCATTTAGAATTGTTGCGCAATGACTGGGCTTATAAAAGCACGTTTCACTCCAGCAGTAACACGCAGGTGACAGCACACAAGTCTACATATCACTGGTTTATAATGTAACTGGCGGTGTGTCTGGGGCGTTGAATATAACTGGCGGTGTGTCTGGGGCGTTGAATATAACTGGCGGTGTGTCTGGGGCGTTGAATATAACTGGCGGTGGGTCTGGGGCGTTGAATATAACTGGCGGTGGGTCTGGGGTGTTGAATATAACTGGCGGTGTGTCTGGGGGCGTTGAATGTAACTGGCGGTGTGTCTACTGGTATAAGAACAGAGTGTAACTCACCTGGTCTTCAGGTATGGGTTTCCAGAAGAAGCTCCGGACCCTCCTCTTCCTTATCCCTCCTACGGGGTCTCCAGCGCCGGGTGGAGGGGGTGGGGGAGGAGGGCCGCAAGGGGGAGGAGGAGGGGGAGGAGGTCCAGTCTTGTTGCCATCAGTGACGGGGATTGTAGAGGCAGGGGGCAGAGACATCATAACTGCGACCGCACCCACTTCCTGGAAACTCTTTTCTCATTGGCTGGAGAGATGCTGCTCATCACATGCATCCCAGCTGCTGATTGGTCAAAGCAAGGAAAGGGGAGGGAGGAAGGGTTTAGGTATCAGACTGCGGGCTACAGGGTGGTTGTTTCCACTGTAAACAACCAACAAAGTTTGGATAACTGCAAAAACCTTCTACATTTTGTTCAGTTTTTCCCTACCCCAAGAAATACTGTATCTAAAAATACATCAAAATCAATATCTAAGAACAATATTTCAGTGTTTTAGTCTGCGACACACTTCTAGTTCTCGCTCTTTGATTTCACAAACAAGTTGTCGTTGATATTATCATGAATGGCAGGTCTAGACTACATTAACCTCAATCATCTGAGCTCTGGGAACCTTTCAAACCACAAGCACTCCATTTGAAGACCAAATAACACATTCTGTGAGAGAGAGAGAGAGAGAGAGAGAGAGAGAGAGAGAGAGAGAGAGAGAGAGAGAGAGAGAGAGATAGAGAGAGAGAGAGAGAAGATAGCGATGGCGAGCTCGATAGAGATAGAGAGAGAGATCGAGCTAGCTAGCGATAGAATAGAGGAGATAGATGTAGCGATAGTAGCTCTCATAGAGAGAGACACATAGGAGAGAGAGAGATTTACATTCCCTTTCGTACTTCAACTACTTGCACATTGTTACAACACTGTACATAGCCCCGTGTAGCTCAGTTGGTAGAGCATGGCGTTTCCAACGCCAGGGTAGTGGGTTCGATTCCCACGGGGGGCCAGTATGAAAATGTATGCACTCACTAACTGTAAGTCGCTCTGGATAAGAGCGTCTGCTAAATGACTAAAAATGTAAAAAATATATATATATAATAATATGACATTTGAAATGTCTCTATTGTTTTGAAAAATCCCATGCCAATAAAGCCCCTTCGAATCGAATTGAGTGTTCTCTTTTGAAGTCCTTGTTTTCTATTAATACCAGAATGCCCTGAGAGAACAACCAGAAAACAACCAGAGAACAACCAGAAAACCAGAAAACAACCAGAAAACAACTAAGACCAAATACACTTTTTTATCATTTATTTCCCTGAGCCTCCTCTTGCCATTGAAATGCTCAGTCTGATGTGGGTGTGTCGATATACATTTTAATATACTGTGCATTCGGAAAGTATTCAGACCCCTTGACTTTTTCCACATTGTTACTTTACAGCCTTATTCTAAAATTGATTAAATTGTTTTTTTTATCAATCTACACACAATACCCCATAATGACACAGCAAAAATAGGTTTTAAGATATTTAAAAACAAATAAATAAATAACTGAAATATTACATTTACATAAATATTCAGAACCTTTACTCAGTACGTTGTTGAAGCACCTTTGACAGCGATTACAGTCTCGAGTCTTCTTGGATATGATGCTACAAGCTTGGCACACCTGTATTTGGGGAGTTTCTCACATTCTTCTCTGCAGATCCTCTCAAGCTCTGTCAGCTTGGATGGGGAACGTCGCCGCAAAGCTATTTTCAGGTCTCTCCAGAGATGTTCGATCGGGTTCAAGTCCAGGCTCTGGCTGGGCCACTCAAGGACATGAAAAACATCCCCACAGGATGATGATGCCACCACCATGCATCACCGTACGGACGGTGCCAGGTTTCCTCCAGACGTGACGCTTGGCATTCAGGCTAAAGAGTTCAATCTTGGTTTCATCAGACCAGAGAATCTTGTTTCTCATGGTCTGAGAGTCTTTAGGTGCCTTTTGGCAAACTCCAAGCGGGCTGTCATGTGCCTTTTACTGAGGAGTGGCTTCCGTCTGGCCACTCTACCATAAAGGCCTGACTGGTGTAGTGCTGCAGAGATGGTTGTCCCTGGAAGGTTCTCTCATCTCCACAGAGGAACTCTGGAGCTCTGTCAGAGTGACCATCAGGTTCTTGGTCACCTCCCTGACCAAGGCCCTTCTCCCCCGATTGCTCAGTTCGGCCGGGCGGCCAGCTCTAGGAAGAGTCTTGATGGTTCTAAACTTCTTCCACTTAAGAACGATGGAGGCCACTGTGTTCTTGGGGACCTTCAATGATGCAGATATTGTGCCTCGACACAATCCTGTCTCCGAGCTCTACGGACAATTCCTTCGAACTCATGGCTTGGTTTTTGCTCTGACATGCACTGTCAACTGTGGGACATTATATAGACAGGTGTGTGCCTTTCCAAATCATGTCCAATCAATTGAATTTACCACAGGTGGACTCCAATCAAGTTGTAGAAACATCTCAAGGATGATCAATGGAAACAGGATGCACCTGAGCTCAATTTATAGTCTCATAGCAAAGGGTCTAAATAGTAAATAAGGAGGGAAGGGAAAAACGTTATCTAATCCATTTTAGAATAAGGCTGTAACGTAACAATGCACTGTAGTTATATACAGAATATTTCGAAAACAGTAAGATGACTTTAACTGCACTGCCCCTTTAATATTTCAGTAGCAGCCTCATGATTCCCTTTACACACCGACACAGACACACCGAACACAGACACACCGACACACCGAACACAGACCGACACACCGACACACTGAACACAGACCGACACACCGAACACACACCGACACACCGAACACACACCGACACACTGAACACAGACCGACACACTGAACACAGACCGACACACCGAACACACACCGACACACTGAACACACACCGACACACTGAACACAGACACACAGACACACACACCGAACACAGACACACAGACCGACACACACCGACACACCGAACACAGACACACACCGAACACAGACCGACACACTGAACACAGACACACTGAACACAGACACACAGACACACCGAACACAGACACACACCGACACACCGAACACAGACCGACACACACCGACACACCGAACACACACCGAACACAGACACACAGACAAACACACTGAACACAGACACACAGACACACAGACACACCGAACACAGACACACACAGACACACCGAACACACACCGAACACAGACCGACACACCGAACACAGACACACAGACAAACACACTGAACACAGACACACAGACACACAGACACACCGAACACAGACACACACAGACACACCGAACACACACCGAACACAGACCGACACACCGAACACAGACACACAGACAAACACACTGAACACAGACACACCGAACACAGACACACACACAGACACACCGAACACAGACACACTGAACATAGACACACACACCGACACACCGAACACAGACACACTGAACACAGACACACACACCGACACACTGAACACAGACCGACACACTGAACACAGACCGACACACCGAACACAGACACACTGAACACAGACACACACACCGACACACTGAACACAGACCGACACACTGAACACAGACACACAAACACACACACCGACACAGACACACACACCAACACAGACACACAGACCGACACACCGAACACAGACACACAGACAAACACACTGAACACAGACACACCGAACACAGACACACACACAGACACACCGAACACAGACACACTGAACACAGACACACACACCGACACACTGAACACAGACCGACACACCGAACACAGACACACACACCGACACACTGAACACAGACCGACACACTGAACACACACACACCGACACACTGAACACAGACACACACACCAACACAGACACACAGACCGACACACCGAACACAGACACACAGACACACACACCGACACACCGAACACAGACCGACACACTGAACACAGACACACAGACACACCGAACACAGACACACACACCGACACACTGAACACAGACCGACACACTGAACACAGACACACACACCGAACAGACACACTGAACACAGACACACAGACACACACACCGACACACTGAACACAGACACACAGACACACAGACACACGCTTCATCCATTTACTTATTATTCATAGTCAGGAAGTGAGTCTACCGCTGGTGATGTGCCTCCTCACACAAGGGATAGGTGGAACGCAGCCATCCAGTTTCACAGGCCCGGCCCGAGGGATAGGTGGAACGCAGCCATCCAGTTTCACAGGCCCGGCCCGAGGGATAGGTGGAACGCAGCCATCCAGTTTCACAGGCCCAGCCCGAGGGTTGGTGTGTGTGTGTGTGTGTGTGTGTCTGTGTCTGTGTGTGTGTGTGTGTGTCTGTGTGTGTGTGTGTGTCTGTGTGTGTGTGTGTCTGTGTCTGTGTGTGTGTCTGTGTGTGTCTGTGTGTGTGTGTCTGTGTGTGTGTGTGTGTGTCTGTGTGTCTGTGTGTGTGTGTGTGTGTCTGTCTGTGTGTGTGTGTCTGTGTCTGTGTGTGTGTGTCTGTGTGCAGTCTTATGCAAAATCTCTGAGCTCAGTGTGAACCCTTCAGCAAACGTCGACCCTAATAATACCAACTACCTGCTACACTGGGTGATTATTTTATCCATTGTCAAGATAATCCATCCACCTGACAGGTGTGGCATATCAAGAAGCTGATTAAACAGCGTGATCTCTACAGCCTATAGCGCTGCAGTCTCTCTCTACAGCCTATAGCGCTGCAGTCTCTCTCTACAGCCTATAGCGCTGCAGTCTCTCTCTACAGCCTATAGCGCTGCAGTCTCTCTCTACAGCCTATAGCGCTGCAGTCTCTCTCTACAGCCTATAGCGCTGCAATCTCTCTCTACAGCCTATAGCGCTGCAGTCTCTCTCTACAGCTCTGTACCCACTTCCTATTCCTCCTCTTCCGGCTTCTTCACCCGCGGGATCGTCTGAGACCAGCCACCCGGACAGCTGATGAAACTGTGGGTTTGCACAAACCAAATAATTTCTGCACAAACTGTCAGAAACCGTCTCAGGGAAGCTCATCTGCGTGCTCGTCGTCCTCACCAGGGTCTTGACCTGACTGCAGTTTGGCGTCGTAACCGACTTCAATGGGCAAATGCTCACCTTCGATGGCCACTGGCACGCTGGAGAAGTGTGCTCTTCA